AGGTGTGTTTGAGCCCCCCCCCCCCCATTATTACAATGTAACCTCTTACCTCATTCCCGGACCACCGTTTGCTACCACTGTCTACGCTGTTAAAGCCGGAATCTAGGCAACCATAGGGCCTGGAGGAATACACATCATCTGCAAGGCTTAGAGAAGAAAAAGAAGAACATTGCAGAGGTTATATAATAATCATTTCACATAAAGAGAACAGAACCGCTTCAAAAATAAAAAAAAGGTGTAGTATGGCCAGGCAGGCGTAGTACGGCCCAAATGTCTGACTGCTCAGAATACCTGGAACAGTGACACATACACGGGACACGATTACTTCTGCTGCAGAGTGCAAGACCTACTATGGAAACTCTGCCCCACACCCTTCCCTTCAATGGGTCTGTATGCTCAGCAAGATGGGCCCGTGACACCCCGTACTCACAGTATATCCTCATTCTCCCAGCGTCATTCAAATGTCCTGACCCGTCCAGGCATGGACTCCACTAGACCTCTGAAGGTGTGCTGTGGTATCTGGGACCGAGCCGTCAGTAGCAGATCCTTCAACTCCTGTAAGCTGTGAGGTGATCGGCCTCCATGGATCGGACTTGTTCTTCTAGCACATCCCACAGATGATCCATTGGACTGAGATCTGGAGAATTTGGAGGTCAGGTCATCACCTCAAACTCCTTGTTGTGTTCTCAAACCATTCTTCAGCCATTGTTGCAGTGTGGCCGGGCGCATTATCCTGCTGAGAGAGGCCACTGCCATCAGGGAATACCGTGTCCATGAAGGGGGGGACTTGGTCAGGAACAATGTTTAGGTCGGTGGACGTGTCAGAGTCACATCCACATGAATGGCAGGACCCGAGGTGTCCCAGCAGAACATTGCCCCAAGCATCACACTGCCTCGGCCAGCTTGTCTTCTTCCATAGTGCTTCCTGGTGCCATCTCCTCGCCATCTTCTTCCACCGCCTCGTGCTCCAGTTCTGATGATCACATGTTCATTGTAGGCACTTTTGGTGGTGGACATGGGTCAGCATGGGCACCCTGACTAGTCCTCAGCTACACAGCCCCATACATGACAACCTGCAATGCTCTGTGTGCTCAGACATCTTTCTATCAGAACCAACATTCACTTTACTAGCAATCTGATCTCCAGAATCTCTTCTATTGGATCGGACTACACGGGCCGGACTTCCCTCCCCATGTGCATCAATGAGCCTTGGCCACCCATGACCCTGTCACCGGTTTTCCTTCCTTGGACCACCATTGGTTGGTTCTGGCCACTGCAGACCTGGAACATCCCATAAGAGCTGCAGTGTTGGAGTTGCTCTGACCCAGTCATCTAGAATCACAATTTGGCCCCTTAAATCCTCCCACTTGGCCATTATATCTGCTTCCAACACATCAACTTCAGGGACAAAATGTTCACTAGTTGCCTACTATATCCCCCCACTTCCAGGTGTCATTGTCATATACTCCCCCCCACTTCCAGGTGCCATTGTAATATATCCCCCCCCCCACTTCCAGGTGTCATTGTAATATATCCCCCCCACTTCCAGGTGCCATTGTAATATCTCCCCCCCCACTTCCCGGGGCCATTGTAATATATCCCTCCCACTTCCAGGTGTCATTGTAATATATCCTCCCCACTTCCAGGTGTCATTGTCATACTCCCCCCCACTTCCAGGTGCCATGGTAATATATCCCCCCCCACTTCCCGGGGCCATTGTAATATATCCCTCCCACTTCCTGGTGCCATTGTAATATATCCCCCCCCTTCCAGGTGTCATTGTAATATATCCTCCCCACTTCCAGGTGTCATTGTCATACTCCCCCCCACTTCCAGGTGCCATGGTAATATATCCCCCCCCACTTCCCGGGGCCATTGTAATATATCCCTCCCACTTCCTGGTGCCATTGTAATATATCCCCCCCCTTCCAGGTGTCATTGTAATATATCCTCCCCACTTCCAGGTGTCATTGTCATACTCCCCCCCACTTCCAGGTGCCATGGTAATATATCCCCCCCCACTTCCCGGGGCCATTGTAATATATCCCTCCCACTTCCTGGTGCCATTGTAATATATCCCCCCCCTTCCAGGTGTCATTGTAATATATCCTCCCCACTTCCAGGTGTCATTGTCATACTCCCCCCCACTTCCAGGTGCCATGGTAATATATCCCCCCCCACTTCCCGGGGCCATTGTAATATATCCCTCCCACTTCCTGGTGCCATTGTAATATATCCCCCCCCTTCCAGGTGTCATTGTAATATATCCTCCCCACTTCCAGGTGTCATTGTCATACTCCCCCCCACTTCCAGGTGCCATGGTAATATATCCCCCCCCACTTCCCGGGGCCATTGTAATATATCCCTCCCACTTCCTGGTGCCATTGTAATATATCCCCCCCCTTCCAGGTGTCATTGTAATATATCCTCCCCACTTCCAGGTGTCATTGTCATACTCCCCCCCACTTCCAGGTGCCATGGTAATATATCCCCCCCCACTTCCCGGGGCCATTGTAATATATCCCTCCCACTTCCTGGTGCCATTGTAATATATCCCCCCCCTTCCAGGTGTCATTGTAATATATCCTCCCCACTTCCAGGTGTCATTGTCATACTCCCCCCCACTTCCAGGTGCCATGGTAATATATCCCCCCCCACTTCCCGGGGCCATTGTAATATATCCCTCCCACTTCCTGGTGCCATTGTAATATATCCCCCCCCTTCCAGGTGTCATTGTAATATATCCTCCCCACTTCCAGGTGTCATTGTCATACTCCCCCCCACTTCCAGGTGCCATGGTAATATATCCCCCCCCACTTCCCGGGGCCATTGTAATATATCCCTCCCACTTCCTGGTGCCATTGTAATATATCCCCCCCCTTCCAGGTGTCATTGTAATATATCCTCCCCACTTCCAGGTGTCATTGTCATACTCCCCCCCACTTCCAGGTGCCATGGTAATATATCCCCCCCCACTTCCCGGGGCCATTGTAATATATCCCTCCCACTTCCTGGTGCCATTGTAATATATCCCCCCCCTTCCAGGTGTCATTGTAATATATCCTCCCCACTTCCAGGTGTCATTGTCATACTCCCCCCCACTTCCAGGTGCCATGGTAATATATCCCCCCCCACTTCCCGGGGCCATTGTAATATATCCCTCCCACTTCCTGGTGCCATTGTAATATATCCCCCCCCTTCCAGGTGTCATTGTAATATATCCTCCCCACTTCCAGGTGTCATTGTCATACTCCCCCCCACTTCCAGGTGCCAGTGTAACCAGATAATTGATGTTATTCACATTGTCACCTCTCAGTGGTGACAATGTGACAGCTGATTGGTGTATATCTATATCTTGCCATGACAGGCAGTCTCCCTGGCCAATATAAATGTGCTGAAGGCAGGAAGGGGTGGGCAGATTTAGGCCAAAGCTTTGCCTGTCAGAACACGGGCTGGTCACATAAGACTGCAAGCAGCTGCTCCATAGATGGTAAACTGTCTGGATGAGAAGAATCCCCCTGTAGGCTCCTCATGTGTTCTGTTGCGACACTAAAGTAAATAACTGGTTCCTGAGTTCATCACATGAATGATTTATATACATGAGGATCAGATCTGCTCTATAAAGAAGGGACACTCGGTGAAGTAGACACATGGAGTCCTCGGTGAAAGGTGGAACCATATTTACAGGGAACCTTCAGCTAAACTTGTTTTTAGTAATCCAAGTTCCAGGGAATCCTCTTCATACCGGCTTCACTACCTAAGGCCCCATTGACACTTGGCGATTCGCAAATCGCGCGTTTGTCGCGCGATTTGCATTTTGCGCCGTATCGCACGATTTTATCACGCAAATGCTTCCATCAAAAAGCATTGAATCGCGCCAAAATCCGCTCCAAAAAGGGTCCTGCTGTAGCGACACACGACCCGCGACAGCAGGACCCCTTGCCTCATTGCAAAGCATTGAAGAGCATTGAAGAGCGATATCGCGCGGTAAATAGCCGCGATATCGCGGGAATTACCGCGCGATAAATCACTCAATGTGAACGGAGCCTAAAGTGTAACTAACCTTGAACCAAAAGGGTTAAAGAATTTGCAGATTAGATGATAAATCTACTATTATGTAATACGAATCAGCAGCACAATCGCTCTACTTACCATGTGGTAAAACTTGTGGGGCGGCTTAGTTTTCCCAGATCTGCCAGTTCCGGGGCAGGCTTACTGCAAGCTTCTATGTTAAGGTACTTAAATATGTGAACCTTCCCTTTGAGACAAATCTGTCCAAAAACAAGATAACAAGTTCAATGTTATTCAAAGGAGACAGAAGGGAGCTATGAGTCTGTCCTCCTCCTGCAGGGTGATACATAGAAGGGAGCTACGAGTCTGTCCTCCTCCTGCAGGGTGATACAGACAGAAGGGAGCTACGAGTCTCTCCTCCTCCTGCAGGGTGACACAGACAGAAGGGAGCTACGAGTCTCTCCTCCTCCTGCAGGGTGACACAGACAGAAGGGAGCTACGAGTCTGTCCTCCTCCTGCAGGGTGATACAGACAGAAGGGAGCTACGAGTCTCTCCTCCTCCTGCAGGGTGACACAGACAGAAGGGAGCTACGAGTCTGTCCTCCTCCTGCAGGGTGATACAGACAGAAGGGAGCTACGAGTCTCTCCTCCTCCTGCAGGGTGACACAGACAGAAGGGAGCTACGAGTCTGTCCTCCTCCTGCAGGGTAACATAGGAATACTGACCTGGGCGGGTGGATATTGGAGGGGGTTGTTGTCCAGTATGATGGTCTGAAGGTGTCGGAGGTGTCGGTAACAGACGGGAATGTGGGAGATGCGGTTGCAGGAGATGTCTAGACGTGTTAGTGGAAGCTCAGAGAGTTCTAGAGGAGAAAGTGATGAAGTCTTATATACACGGGGCACAATATATGACACTCGGTACCTACACATCGAAGATTCCCAGGACAATAATACAGCAGAAAGCCAGTATGAGGTTCAATTTCATTTACATTTATTGCATCAATAATTTCCACAAGCAGGAGTACTTTGCCATCCATTGCATATCACTATAGCTCCCAGAGACTGATGGTGGAGCACAGTTTGGAGTCCAATATATTCCCTCATTTATGCAAATAATTTACAGACTCAAACTTGATCTACAGTATACATTGTACTGAGCCAAATAAACGTAGGTGCTTATTGCTGCCTGGTGCTTCAGCCTATAATACTGGACAAGCTAGGTGGCAGCTAAAAGGAGGTCTGAGTGCCAACTGCCACTGGATGCTTATCTTGGTCTTGATCTATTCATATAATTATTTTTTTTATGTCTGTGTGAATATATTATTTTACTGCTCATTCAGTAATACAGAACCCAGCAGAAGCTCAACCAGGGTTTGGATCCAGGTTCAAATGCCAGACAAGCCCCCACCCCAACTGCTCAGCATGGGTTTGAATCCCGGACAAGCCCCCACCCCCAACCGCTCAGCATGGGTTCGAATCCCGGACAAACCCCCAACCACTTAGCATGGGTTTGAATCCCAGACAAACCCCCACCCCAGCCGCTCAGCATGGGTTTGAATCCCAGACAAGCCCCCATCTAACCGCTCAGCAAGGGTTTGAATCCCGGACAAACCCCCAACCACTTGGCATGGGTTTGAATCCCGGACAAACCCCCACCCCAGCCGCTCAGCATGGGTTTGAATCCCGGACAAGCCGCTGATAGATTCTAGACTACTTTAAATTGACAATGGTCCTGATGAAGAGGACATAGATATCCAAAACAAGTAGGACTCCTGGAATCTTCAGTAAACATCACATAAAAGGTTGCTGTAGTATAGAACATTCCTTTGGACACAGGCCTCACCCCTTCCGATGGAGAGAAGCCCTCACATTCCTTCTATTACACCTTGTGTACACGTGGGACGCTGAAGTATCTCTACGTTGTCAGGTGATCGGCCTAGTAACTCCGATTAATACAGACAACAGGCAGCGTCAATAGGAACCTCAATACTCCTACTAAAGCTGAAGAGTCAGTCTCAAGGTGAGCAAAGCTAACAGCTTTCTTGTATGCGTGCAGTTGTGACTGCTTCTCTGTACAATGAACCTGAACTCCATTATAATCTATGAACGTCTCTCCTAATGCTGCGAAACCTATTGTTATCGCCACCCCATCCCAACGATCCCATCACCCCACCCGAAACAATCACATTTTGCAGAGATCGGCGGTAGACGGTGACACTTACCCTCCGGCAGGGAGGTCAGCTGATTCCTGCGGACATTTAACTCTCGCAGAGATTCCAGTGATCCCATCTGTGGCGGCAGAGACTGAATCTCGTTACAGCTGATATCCTACGAGAGACGATAAAGAGATTACATACAAAACATCACAGTTCCCTGCCTCAGTACTCCTTTCAAGAACCCTCAGCCCTGAAGCAAGCAGTGGGCGGGCTCTTGGGAGGAGTTATGCAAATATCAAAATGTCTTGATTTGTGGGTATCAGTCTGGAGGAGTGGGCGTTCCTAGGCAGGCTGTATTTGCATGGAGACCACCCTCGATAATGCCCATACGTGATGCTGAGCCTCCATGATCGAAATAACTGAAATCCAGTGAATTAAATGGTGGGGCCAGGGAGGAGCAAAGGACTAGATGATGCTGGATGTCCTCCAGCCAGGAAATGAGGCGGGCTCTATCTGACTTGCTGCAGCTTCTGATGCAATCACAGGAACAAGTGACAATCATAGGAGATACAAAGTATTAAACCAGATAATTTCCTTTCCGGGTTACCCCAGGCTTTAGAGGGGGTTGTCTCAACCAGGCTGCCTCCTGGCTTCCTCAGGGGTGCCTTAAAATGTTCACACAGGGTCATGCATCTGATGTGAAAACGAGGGGGCTCCTGATGTAAAGGAGGACTGTGATGTGAAAGGAGGGGGCTCCTGATGTAAAGGAGGACTGTGATGTGAAAGAGTGAAAAGAGGGGGCTCCTGATGTGAAAGGAGGGGGCTCCTGATGTGAAAGGAGGGGGCTCCTGATGTAAAGGAGGGACTGTGATGTGAAAGTAGGGGGCTGCTGAAGTTCAGCAAGATATTGTGCAGCATGTAACAGGGCGACATCTGGCAGCCATCTTGCTCTGTATAAGGATCTCTCAGCTATCAGATAAGTAGAATGAGCCAACATCTTCCTGTGATCAGAGCGAGCGGCTGACTGCGGCACTCCCCTCTGTAGCACTGACACCCGTCTGACAACCCGGCTTCTATCACAACGGCGTCATCCCCAGAGACAGACTCAGACCTCAATGTCTGATTAGCCAGGTTACATTTTTGGGGGGTTTGCATGTAGTCAGGAAAGTCAATGGCCGCCTGCATGCTCCTGTATCACCGCCCGAAGGTATGCATGCCTCACACGAACTACTGGGCACGTGCCGTCATGCATACATGTGCCCACTCACCTCAACATGGCGCTCATATTGGCCCCAGATGGGCTGTATGTGAGCTCTGTGCTGTCTTCAGCAACAACCCGCCATCTATTCCTGACCCTTGGTTATCTCCCGTGACCAGCCCACCCGCTGACTGATGACCCGAATTCTGAGCACCATCTAAAACCTCTGCACTGTGACCACGGCTCGGCCTGCTGACTATGCACTCTGCTGCCCAATGGCTGCCCATCCTGCTGACCACCATTCTACTTGCCGTTTATGAACCTTGGCCCCAAACTGCCTCCCCCATCAACATGACATTTTTATATAAAACCATTCCATTTGTATGACATCACTTATTTAGTCCCATTCATGTCATCACAGGGTCTGTGCAATGCAGGCAGATCATGGTTGGTGGGAGGGGCCAGCTGGGGGCTGTACGTAGCTTCCTTAAAACATCACAGCACCCTGCCTCTGTACTCCTCTCAGGAGCCCTCAGTCCTGATGCAAGCAGCGGGGAGTTATGCAAATATCAAAATGCCTTGAGGGGTGGGTGCCAGTCTGGAGGAGTGGCTAATTCCTAGGCACGCTGCGTCTGCATGGAGGAAGCCATGTCAGTCCAGGAGAGGAGCTGGTACAACTGTGCAAGACTGAAGCGGAGGCCTGGGGTCAGATAGAACCCTAAAGGGAAGGCCGGAGGTCAGATAGAAGCCCAAAGGGAAGGCCGGAGGTCAGATAGAAGCCTAAAAGGGAAGGCCGGAGGTCAGATAGAAGCCTAAAAGGGAAGGCCGGAGGTCAGATAGAAGCCTAAAAGGGAAGCCAGGGGGTCAGATAGAAGACTGAAGGGAAGGACCGAGGTCAGATAGAAGACTGAAGGGAAGGACGGAGGTCAGATAGAAGACTGAAGGGGAGGACAGAGGTCAGAGAGAAGACTGAAGGGAAGGACAGAGGTCAGATAGAAGACTGAAGGGAAGGAACAAGGTCAGATAGAAGACTGAAGGGGGGGACGGAGGTCAGATAGAAGACTGAAGGGAAGGACCGAGGTCAGATAGAAGACTGAAGGGAAGGACCGAGGTCAGATAGAAGACTGAAGGGAAGGACCGAGGTCAGACAGAAGACTGGAGGGAAGGACCGAGGTCAGATAGAAGACTGAAGGGAAGGCCGGAGGTCAGATGATAGAAGACTGAAGGGAAGGACGGAGGTCATATAGAAGCCTAAAGGGAAGGCCGGAGGTCAGTTATTGAAATACATTGGGAAACATTCAGCTCAGCGTACTTCTAGCAATCCGGGAACGTGCTGGTTTAGCACCGGCAGTGAAAGTGATTTATTGAATGATTCCGGCCTCTGTAGTGATGTAGCAGCCGGTAACAGTAACCACGGCGTGCGGTAGAAGGAAGACGTGCCGGATGCACCCAGAAGAGTCGAATGCCTGCTGGTTAGGGAGCAGTAATGCGGTGGCTTTTGAACACATGGGCCTCTGCACTATACGGCCTCTTCTGCAGGGGCCCTGTGGTGACACGGTCACTTTAACAATCACACTTCCTGCGAATCAGAAGAGCCCGTTGTGTCAGCATTACCTCATCATTCATATTATGAGAAACGAAAAAACTCAGAAGAACAAATAGTTCCCCTTTCTCGGCATCGGTAAATAAAACGTCTGTTACCTCTCTTCCAGCTGTGATCACATGGTCTCTGCCGACCAATCATCACTGCAGACAGATCACAATCAGAGATTTGGGCGATTAAATAATTAATTGTTATAGATCCATTTGGTCCTCTGAAGTTTTCTCTCTGACCGGTTCTCTGTATTTTAGCTGCACAAAGTTCTCCTGTTCTGGTCAGTATCCGCGCTGTGCCGGGAGGACGTCAGGCTCATCACGGGCGCTCAATCCTGCGCAATTGGCAAGTCTCCTTCCAGCAAGGCCGAGCTCTGTTCTTTGGCGCACACGCTGGATTTCCATGATGGTTCCCTTTGTGGGAGGAAGTATGGACGGAGAAAGACGACGGCGGGACAAATCAAGTCACAGAATCGATCAACAGTTCGCTTTCCTCAAGGCCCAGCTCCATTCTTCCGCACATGTGCAGATTTTCAGACGACGTCCATTGGTGGAAGTACGGAAGGAGGAAGGCGGCTCAGCTCCAGTCTTCCATACATGTGCAGATTTGTCAGACGACGTCCATTGGTGGAAGTACGGAGGGAGGAAGAAGGCTCAGCTCCGGTCTTCCATACATGTGCAGATTTGTCAGATGACGTCCATTGGTTGAAGTACGAAGGGAAGACGATGCCGGGACAAATCAAGCCACAGAATCTGCGCCAGATCAACAGTTTGCTTTCCTCAAGGCTCAGATCTGGTCTTCCATACATGTGCAGATTTGTCAGATGACGTCCATTGGTGGAAGTACGGAGCGAAGACGCCACCGGGGCAAGTCAAGTCATGGCGCCTGATGATCAGTTTGCTTTCCTCAAGGCTTAAATCCAGTCTTCCATATATGTGCAGATTTGTCAGATGACATCCATTGGTGGAAGTACGGAGCGAAGACGCCACTGGGACAAATCAGTGCCCGATGAACAGTTTGCTTTCCTCAAGACTCAGCTTCGTTCTTCCTCACATGTGCAGGATTTGTCAGATGTCCATTGGTGGAAGTACAGAGGGAGGAAGAAGGCTCAGCTCCGGTCTTCCATATATGTGCAGATTTGTCAGATGATGTCCATTGGTGGAAGTACGGAGCGAAGGCGTCACCGGGACAAATCTAGTCATGGCGCCCAATCAACAGTATGCTTTTCGTCAAGGCTCAGCTTTGTTCTTCCGCACATGTGCAGGATTTTCAGATGGCGTCCATGGGTGGAAGTGTGGAGGGAAGCCGGCGCTGGGACAAATGAAGTCACGGCATGAGTGATAGATCAACAGTTCGCTTTCTTCAAGGCTCAGCTCCGCTCTTCCGCACATGTGCAGGATCTTCTGATGATGTCTGTTTTGGGTGTAAGTTTGAACGGAGGAGGAAGGCTCTGGGACAAATCCAATATGGTGGTGGCTTCAGGATGAGCAGGGGCAGTGTGGCCCATTTTTATTAAACATCTAAAATATTGCCGAATTGACCTTTTAGAAGACACTTACAGAACAGAAGCCATGTGGTTTGAGGTCTATTTGCCGGAGGAAGGTAGAGTTTACTTCCGCATTAATGAGGAAGGAAAAATATGGCTGCCGCTGGCGACTTTGTTTTATTTTTGGGTCATGCGTTGGGGGTGTCACCTTTATTCTTCCTTCACTATATTGTAAGACGTCAAACTGGAACTAGCATGTGGCCAATGTAGTCTAGGTCAGTGACTAATTGGTGAGGGACAGATGGACAGAATTGCCAGGTCACTGTATGGAAGCTGCAGAGCTATAAACAGAGGGAAGGTAGGAGTCACGGGCCACCAGAAAGGTAATACCTCTTTGAATTGGCATTTGAGGGTCACTTTAACCTCTTGCCGTCCGCCCGTAGTAAAAAAACGGACGGACGGCACTGCAGCATCTGCGGGTTGCCGTCTCCAGACGGCAATTTTTTTCTGCTCGCGCGCGCCCCCTAGCGGGCACGCACGGGCAGAAAAGACCCGCTAAATGCACACACCCGTTACCGGGTGTTTCACATATAGGCGATCGGCGGGTCCATAGCCCGCAGGGGGTTTAACACCGCGGATGTCAACTGGTTAAGATGGAGACGTTTGTATAAAGTGTACTATGTTCCACACTTTCCACCACCTCACCCCCTTCACAGTAAATTGGCAGGGACATTCCAGTCAGTAAAGAAGTACAATGGGCATTTAGGGCAAACATAGGGATTGGCATTCCTTTCTCCTGTTGCCAGGTGAGCCCATCATCTTACCCCAAACAGATTACTCACCAGCTGCCGCAGGTTGGTCATGGCGCCCACTTCCTCTGGAATGGAGTTGAGCTTGTTGTTGCTGGCGATAAGCACGGTGAGAGGAAGACGACAGAGGTAGGGGGGTAAAGAGGTGAGGAGGTTCCGGCTGTGGAAACAAGGAAGGGGAAGGTACTGAGAAAAATAATGGTTTCAATACCTTGCATCCCTTCAGATGTACCTTCTCATTGCTTATGTCTATGGTAGACTGGGGTCTCTGGCTTTCATACCTAAAACGAATCCCCTGTATCCTCCAGACATACTTGCTCCTTGCTGCTCTCGTCAGTATACTGGGGACGGTGGTTTGCATAGCTAGAAGACATCCCCTACAACCTTTCAGATGTTCTTGTTCCTCGTACTGTACAACAGGCCGTGGGGTTTGGGTTGTATACCTAGAAGGAATCCCCTGCATCCGCCCAGATGTTCTCGCTTCATGTTAATCTCCACAGTACACTGTGGACTCTGGGTTCCATACCTAGAAGGAATCCCCTGAATCCCTCCACATGTACTTGCTCCTTGCTGATCTCTACAGTAGACTTGCTGCTCTCTGCTGTAGACCAGAACCGATGGTTTGGCCACCTAGAAGCAATCCCCTGCATCCCTCCAGATGTAGTTTACTTATTGATTATCACTACAGTAGACTGTGGGCTCTGGCTTGCATACCTAGAAGGAATACCCCGAATCGTTCCACATGTACTTGCTCCTTGCTGATCTCTACAGTAGACATGCTGCTCTCTGCAGTAGACTGGGGCCAATGGTTTCCATGCCTAGAAGGAATCCCCTGCATTCCTCAAGATGTACTTGCTTCTTGCCTATCCATGCAGTAGACTGGGGCCAATAGTTTTCATACCGACCTAATCTCTACAGTATACTGCAGGCTCTGGCTTGCATACCTAGAAGGAATCCCCTGCATCCCTCCAGATGTACTTCTACAGTATACAGCAGGCTCTGGCTTGCATACCTAGAAGGAATCCCCTGCATCCCTCCAGACATACTTGCTTCTACAGTATACTGCAGGCTCTGGCTTGCATACCTAGAAGGAATCCCCTGCATCCCTCCAGATGTACTTGCTTCTACAGTATACTGCAGGCTCTGGCTTGCATACCTAGAAGGAATTCCCTGCATCCCTCCAGACATACTTGCTTCTACAGTATACTGCAGGCTCTGGCTTGCATACCTAGAAGGAATCCCCTGCATCCCTCCAGACATACTTGCTTCTACAGTATACTGCAGGCTCTGGCTTGCATACCTAGAAGGAATCCCCTGCATCCCTCCAGATGTACTTGCTTCTACAGTATACTGCAGGCTCTGGCTTGCATACCTAGAAGGAATCCCCTGCATCCCTCCAGATGTACTTGCTTCTACAGTATACTGCAGGCTCTGGCTTGCATACCTAGAAGGAATTCCCTGCATCCCTCCAGATGTACTTGCTTCTACAGTATACTGCAGGCTCTGGCTTGCATACCTAGAAGGAATTCCCTGCATCCCTCCAGACATACTTGCTTCTACAGTATACTGCAGGCTCTGGCTTGCATACCTAGAAGGAAGCCCCTGCATCCCTCCAGACATACTTGCTTCTACAGTATACTGCAGGCTCTGGCTTGCATACCTAGAAGGAATCCCCTGCATCCCTCCAGATGTACTTGCTTCTACAGTATACTGCAGGCTCTGGCTTGCATACCTAGAAGGAATTCCCTGCATCCCTCCAGATGTACTTGCTTCTACAGTACACTGTGGTCTCTGGCTTGCATACTTAGAAGTAACCCCCTGAATCCCTCAACATGTACTTGTTCCTTGCTGATCTCTACAGTAGACTGGGCTTTCTTGTTTGCATACCAAGATGGAATCCTCTGCATCCCTCCAGATGTACCTTATTATTGATTATCACTACAGCAGACTGGGGGCTTTGCCTTGCATAGCTAGAAGGAATTCCCTGCATCCTTTCAGATACATTTGCTCCTTGCTGGTCTTTACAGAAGACGAGGGGCTCCGGGTCGTATAACTACAATGATGCCAATGTTTAAAGACTCATGCAGGCAGCTTATCATCTATCACCAGAGCCGGTGATTGAATACCAGAGTTGGGGGCCAGAGTGGACTCGGGACAAAGTTACAAAGTGAAAGCTGTAAAGAGACTGACGGCCGTCAAATTCCATTTCTCAAGGCAAAACAAAACCTCCCTCTGCAACTGTTGCCGAATTCCTTCCTGACCCCCAAGGACAGTCAACTCCCCGGATGAAAAGGCTGAAGTCTGGACATCGTCAGCTGCACGATCATCATCCAGACCTTTATGAACTCAGTCAGTAATCCTATTCTCAGTTTGCTGAGATGGGTGAAATGTGGCGCCATTATCTGAACGCGCCCAGCGAGGTATCAGGGGGCGTGTCCAGGGACACTCTGGTTCACTCACCTTATGTTCAGGTAGGTGAGGGCCTGTAGGTTGCAGATGCATTCGGGGAGAGAACGCAGGCAGTTGTGGTAGAGGTTCAGGGATTCCAGAGACACCAACTGGCACAGCTCGCCGGGGACTTCAGAGAAACGATTCTTCGATAAGTCTGAAGGAGAAAAAACAGACCGTATAAGATCAAAACACACAACGCCATCACGTCACTACTGCGACACTACGGGGGAACATCAGGATCAAACATGGCCGCCACGTGAAACAACCAAACAACTACTACTCCATCTCCACAGGGAATATTGCGACACTACGGGGGACATCAGGATCAAACATGGCCATCATGTGAAAGAACCAAACAACTACTACTCCATCATCTCTACAGGAAATACTGCGACACTAAAGGGAACAGCAGGATCGAAACATGGACGCCAAGTGAAAGAACCAAACACAACTACTACTCCATCATCTCTACAGGGAATACTACGACACTAAGGGGGAAATTAGAATCAAACATGGCTGCCACGTGAAAGAACCAAACAACTACTACCCCAGCATCTCTACAGGCAATATTGCGACACTATGGGGGGCATCAGGATCAAACATGGCAGTTATGTGAAAGAACCAAAGAACTACTTCTCCATCATCTCCACAGGGATTACTGCGACACTATGGGGGGAACATCAGGATCAAACATGGCAGTCATGTCAAAGAACCAAACAACTACTACTCCATCTCTACAGGGATTACTGTGACACTACGGGGGGCATCAGGATCAAACATGGCCGCCATGTGAAACAACTACTACACCATCATCTCCACAGGGATTACTGCAACACCACGGGGAACAACAGGATCAAACATGGCTGCCACGTGAAAGAAGGAAACACAACAACTACTACTCC